ATTAATTAAGCAAATTAATTAATCTAATTTAAGCAATAAACAGCCTCGGGAAGAGGGTCTCATGCTTGCGTGCTCGGGTTTGCTCGGAAATCCAACGCCATGCACAAGTTTGCCTCTGTTTTCCCTGCTCTGCTCTTTTGAAAATTGCACAACTCCCAAGGTATGCTCCATGGACACTGTGGAGCACCACCGACCAAATGGGAACACCACTGGCCATGTCCGGATGGTCATCGGCCATTTGTTGAGCTCTCGGCCATCAATAATTGGTCGGTCGGCACTCCATGTAATCGACCGGCCAAATATTCCTGCAGAACCTGTTTTGACAGCAGCAGAGGGCAAAACATGGCATGGTAATGCATTTCAAGAAAATGTATGCACCACCACATCCCTTATCATATTTAAGACTCAAAGGGGTATGGTGCTCGATTCTCAGACCACCAATCACGCATTTCAATGCGTGATGGCCCAAGAAACCAAGTTGTGCATTTCAATGTCAAATATAATGCACACAAACACACAATGAACTCAACCTCTATCATACTCAATTCAAGAGGCAAAGCACGCATGCTTAATGTTATGCAACCTAGGCATGGAAGCTAAGCATGCAATATGAGCACGTGAACAAGTAATGTAAATATGCAAGCATACAAGTTGTGCAAACTAACAAGCATGCAAGATGGATGAGCATGCAACGACATGTGGGAATGGTCTTAAACCAAAATGGGCAACTCTCAAATAGGCCCAAATCAGTGGCCAAAATGATGCAACAAAGGCATGAAAACACACACACAAATATGCATCAACAACGGCCTAAACATGGAGCATAAGCCATCAACTCTTCAAAGCATGAAAGGGATGGAAAATGCAAGCATATAAGCACATCATGAGGTCTGAAATAACATACCAAGTGATTCCAAACCACTGAAACAAAGCAAGGATGGCATGCTAGAGAGGCCAAAGCTTAAGGCATTCAAGAGGGATTGCATGGTAGCTATACAAAACAAGACATGAATGACTCAAATGACCTAAAACAGTCCCTTAGCACATCAAAATATGCATGTAAGCTTCACAAAGCTTAGCCAAAACACATGAGCATGGTAGTCTAAATGTTATGCATGTATTGAGGCAAATCATGGCATTACAAGGCATGTATGCTAAGCAAGCATGGTGTACCAAAACCAACTAAAAACAGAGCTATATCATGACATAATAAGCATAAATATCAGTCAAGGCATGGCCCTCTCCTTCCTAAGACCTTAAGGCACCATCCTCACCTCTGAAATCCCTCAAGATTTCAGTGGTGAGGAGGCCCAAACACAATGGTCCCGGAGCTCAACCAAAATGGCACAAAACAAAGGCCAAACAAGCCTTAAGAGGGGTCAAACAATCCCAAATCTTAAGGAAACCTTAACCAACTATTTAGAGCACTGAAAATCAGAACTTTTATATGTTATACACAAAGCTCAAAAACAGATGCAAGGTAGGCAAAAATGCAATGCAAAAATGGGGAATAAAGGGACAAGTTTCTTACCCTTGTAGACCCTCTTCACCAATGGTGAACCAGCTGATTCTTCAAGCTCAAACCAGCTCCACAACTCCAAAAACAACCCTCAAGGGGCCTCAGCTTCAAGAAAAGGTGTGATGGTGGGTGTTTGTGTGCAAAACTACGACAAAACACACACAAAACACAAGAGAGAGAGAGAGAGATATAGAGATGGAGGATATATGAACCCTAACCCAAAAACTCAAAACCCTCTAAAAATGCTGTCTAAATTTTCTAACCTCTAAAAGAGGGAGAGAAGGCCTCCTCTTATAGACAATTAGTCTTGTAAAGCTTCCAAAGGAAGCTAACAAGAGGGCAATCCCTCCATACACGTGTATGGAGGGGGTGACAGTGTATGCCAGCTGCACAAAAATATCTGCAAAAAGCAGATGCACAGTAGTCAGCCGGCCAAAAATGCAATTGACCAAAAAATATAGCCGGCCGGCCATCTATAGTGCCGGCCGGCCAAGCATTGGCCGATGGCAACAAAACACAGCCAGTGGATTCAAGCCATGGCCGGTGGAGTGTGGGGATGGCTCACAAGTCATTCCCTGCCTCTCCAAGGCAAAGCACAAGTGTTTGGTGCAAAACCAGACACAAAACAGTCGAGTCGAGAGATCCTGAGGCAAGGCGCGTAGCCGAGACCTCCGGGAACTCAAGACGAACACAAACATGGATGATCACCGAGTGTTCAAGTGGTGACGTCCAAGTCTTGAGGACAGTCA